CTTTATCCTTAATAAAAGCCTGAAGGGCCATTTGGATTTTTCATTGAAATCGTCCACTAAGGCAACACAAATTTTGCAGATTTTGTGAGCAAGTATATCGATTGTCAAGAAAACCAATAGCAAACCTTGAAATCCGTCATGCTGGTCATGAGAGTCTTCTCAAAGTATGACATATCGACGAACATCCACATGGCAGCCAGTTGCGCCATCACCACAATGGCAGCTGCACTGGTCATGACGAAAGTCAGCATAGTGCTAGACATCCTGACGAGGTCCCCGGAGACGACGGTTAGATATGGTATTAACCACGGATTAGCTTTTATAGTGGCGGAAATCCGTGTTGATCAACTGCGATTGCACAATTGATATGGCGACTGGTCCGCTTCAGGCCTGGTTTTGCTAATCGGCTAGATCGGCTTGACAAGTATGGCGATTTTATCGTAATGGAATCTCTTTCGTAACAAGCCGTATAAAATGGCTGGCGTAGTATGGTTGGCCACTTCTTCTTCTACCAATACTGTTTAGTCACCGTTGTCCATTCTTTTGGAATACGATTTCAGAGATATTTCTATGATTTAAATATTCTATCAATCATTAGAGCTTGTTAGAATTGAACTCCTAGAATAGTCAGAAAGGGTCTTCTCTTTTTACCTGTTTTGAAATAAAATAAGGTATTAATAAATGTGGGTAAGAATAATACCAGTGGGCATAATAATACATAGGGTAACTTTTTTCACAATTTTGAGATTTTGGAGCAGTCATAGTGGAACAGGGCCTAGCTTTCTTCAATTGTCATGTGTTTAATTATATCAGAATAATGCACATCCGGGAGGAAGTTGTACAGTGGCAAGTGGCGCTGCTTGGTGTACGGTCCGGGGATCAAATCCTGGGTCGTGAGTCGCCCGGGCCAACCAAGCCTTCCATCCCTCCGGGGTCGGTTAATTGGTACCAGACTTGTCTGGGAGGATAAAAACACTGACTTGTGCATCGGCTGGCCCCCGCAAGTCATTGTATAGGACCAAGTCCGTTGCGACTCCGAAAGGAAGTGGAATGCGTGGCGTATCTCAGAAAGGGATGGTCGACATCGAATGCTTCTTGCTTATTTTCTCTCGAGTACCTTGGGAAGTACGATGTCGCGCGTGCTTTTTGATGCTCTTGACGTTTTGATCTGGTGCTATGTGTTGCCAATTCAGCGACAGTGATGCGTGTTGTCGCTAGAAGTATACACGGGCACTACAAGGATGCTTAAAGGCAAAGTTCGGGCTCAGACCCACCTAAGAAGCCCTTACCATGGCTAGAAGTGCTGGGCACCCAAGTGCAAAGTTAGCGCCACCTTTCTACATTTCTTTCCTTTCTTTTTTCTCCATTGGCGGTCCACCTCTCATCCCTACTTTCACATTTGAGTGGAATCAACCCATCAATTTAATCCTGATTCTTGCCTTTAAGTTGGTTTCGAAGGTTCACTTCATCCTAAAACTTAGTTTTGAAAGCTATGAAATATTTATCCAATTGATAACCTTAAGAATTAAGAATGTTTTGAAATTATCTTTTCGAAATCTCATTTTACTGCAACATTCGTGTTTGAACTATTTTTTTTCCTATAGTTTTATTTCAGCGTTTCTCCTGGAATGTCGACGAAGGCGTTGATTGCTACGGGGTCATGTGTGAGCGCCATAGCTATCGCGGTCTCCATATGGTATATTGTCCATAATAAACGACATCAATCGTTTTGTTGATGACGTCACTAAGGATCTGGACAGCTTTAAAGTTAGTTTTGGGTGTTCATATATCCTCTTAAAGATATGCACAGGTGAAAGGATATAGTCCCCAGAGTAACCGTATCGGCATGCAGAAGTGCTGGCCCATTTCTGTACCTCATGTGTCGCTCACATGGGTTATTAGGCACCGACCGCAACAGTGTTCTCTGGATAGTGGGATAGGAAGCGTGAGCTAGATAATTGAGGGACTGTGCATCATTTGAAGACCACATTTCTTTCACGGAAACTTCCCTATTTTGAAAAATGCTTGTGCATGGCGTATCTCCTAGATCGATAAAGCGGATTTATTCGTAAACTTTGGCGTTTTACGCCTTCAAAATAACGGTTCTAGGAGAAAGCCGAGGATGCCTGGCAAGAGATGGTGCCAGCATCGCGTTCCTACACTCCATCGAAGTTCGAGGTCCTTCTGCGCAAAGAAAAACGTCAGGTCAACTCAGCAGGTAGACAGTGACATCAATTAGTTTCGGTTTTCCCTTAGTTTGCTGAGGTACGTAGTAACCTGAATGGATGGAAATCCACTCTTTCCAGGGCAACAATGCCAATGCGGCCCTCCACCGCCAAACTGTGAGCGCGGTCCTCCTGGGCCTCCAGGAGAGCCTGGAGAGCCAGGACGTGAGTCATTCTTCAATTGGTAGAAAGTTGGTACGGAATATAGTGTTTGTTAGACGAACTCAACCGTTTTAGCCGATGGCGAAAATGGCCCGGACGGAATACCCGGAGTTCCTGGAATGTCGCGTATGGCCGAAATGTTCCCCATACTGAAGTCGTGTGTGAAGTGCCCGCAGGGAGCGCCAGGCCCTGCTGGACCAAATGGACCTCCTGGACCCGCAGGACCTCCTGGATCTCCTGGCAGGGACGGGCTCTCTGGGGCGCTTGGTATTGCTGGACCGCCAGGGCCACCAGGAGATGCCGGAGAGAATGGATCAGCAGGGGCACCGGGAGCAGATGGCCAACCAGGTGCTCCTGGCACCATGAATATGCCTGGGACACCAGGACTGCCTGGACCTCCTGGACCACCAGGACCACCTGGTGCTGCGGGTCAACCTGGAAGCGATCCAGGTAGGTATTGCATTTTTTTGCTAATTTCAGCTAGTGAAGACATCAGTAATTCATTCAATATCAATTTTTCATATGTGCGCTTAATTACTATTGTTTAGGACCTGGAGCGCCTGGTCCTCCAGGAGAGCCAGGACTTCC